GGGATCGGAAGGAAATGGACTCAGTAACGCAGAGCAGGATCTACGGGCATGCAAGGTAGGCATGCAAGAGTCCATGTCCATGCGAGAAAGTACGAACAATTTTCTCCTTTCCAATCAGGTTCAGATACAGAGGGTGGATAGTAGAAGTGGACAAATTGGTACATCCTTAAGTGCGCCGCTCAGTGTCCGGACTGGAAGGCAACCTTTACTTGTCTCATCGTCGGCGATTAGAATGTCGTCGGTGTCAGGTCTTTCTCTAGCTAGACTTGGTACTAGTCTGTCAGGCGGACAGTTAGCTGTAGACATGCACGCTCGGTATGCTTCTTTTTCTTCCCTTCAGACGGCTGTTCCTACAGAACAGCCGCACATACCCCAACCTGCACAGCAAGCGGTAGTGCAGATTGATGGTAGGACCCAATGGGTTCCGAATGCAGCATTAGCACAGGCGAAGTGTGCTACAAGAGTAGGAAAGACGAAGCCCTCGACGTGTGGTGGAGGCAAGTGTTGACGCACATTAGGAACAGAAACGAATGTCAAAGGAAGTAGGTGATGGCTGCAGCAGCACAGTGGTTAGAAGGGTTAGTACAACAAAATGGGTAAGACCGGGGGCTTGGTTACTGGACTGAGGTCTGGTGTCTTAGGCTACGGGTCCCAGGGATGCTGTAGGGGACCCTTGATCTCATGATTACTCCCTAAAGAAAGAATAGAGAATGGGGTAGTCCTTGGGACCACCGAAATTGCGTATGAATACCGTTTCCTAACTAGGTCGGTATTAGGCATAAAGGATAAGCTTAAGAACGCAAGCCAGAGTCCAGTCAAAGGGAGGAAGAAGAAGCTACCCCAGGATCAAAACCCTAAAAGGGAGGGCCTACTCTATTTAGTTTCTGATAGAATCAGGAAGGGGTAGAGGGAGTTTACGATCCTGGGGGTATAGACAAAGTGGTCGACGATCAGAAGACTTCTGAGGGAGAAGTGCTGGTCGCCTTAAGAGAAGGCTAAGGCGACTGATTTGCAGTAGGTTAATCGGTTTAGGAGCCAACACAAAGATTCTTCTTTACCAATAGGAATAAGTAGAGTCTTGCAATGGGCGTGTGGGAAACTGACCCATGAGGAACATTTGCGAACGGTCGTACCAAGAGGCAGGGTTCAAACGAGTTGGCCACCGTGAGGGTGCGGCCTCATAGGGGGCATGAGGCACTCTCAACCTGGGAAAGCACTGCGAGCAGTTTCCAGGGTAAACACATCTGGCGCGAAGAAGTTGTAACCGCTTCTGCACAGTGTGAGATGGTTGAAGATCCCTCACCATCTCAGAGGTAGCCTGAGGTTACTGACTCCTTAGTCACCCCGCAGGCACATCTAGACCACATGATGCTTTGTTCATGTGATGTGTCTAAGTCCTTAGAGCCGGAACGGTCTATGAAAGACCTGTTAGCTGCCTGGGTGACCATATTGAGGTCCTGAGGATTGGTAGAAGTCAATGTTAAACGGCCTTAACCTGATAGGGCTCTCGCAGACAATGACTCTACCTGGGACTACACTTGTCGTTTTTGTGTGGGAATGGTGTGCTCTAGGACCTAGTGCAGCGGCCAAGGAGAACTGTAGAGTCTGCCGTAGGCCACATCAAAAGACGTGCGTAGGGGCTACATGATTACTGTAGCGTTGTTCCTCCAGCTAAGGGGGAAGGCAACCGTGGACACTAGTCTCGTTTGCCGGATAGCGACAAGCTGTTTGTGGCATTTCGCTAGGAGGTACCACTTCGAGGTTGAAGTGTTCCTACAAGGACAGACAGAACCAAGGGTGGGATATCTGCCTAATCTCGAAGTCTCTGAAGGGCAGGCCTATCAAGCTTCTTTCGAGAGAGAAAATGTTGTCGTTTAATGTTCGTATCTCCTTGGAACCGGCCAGGAATCATAGACAGGAAGATTGTCCAACAGATAGTTAACACTCCTTCCCGTGAAGGAAAGAACTATAGGATGACTCTTATGTTATGAGATGATGACTGGCGAATCAAACGAAGGAGAGACGGATAGGGCCATGCAAGTACCCCTAGAGATCATTTTATGTATGAAAATCTAACTAAAAGAGATGGGGACGCAGAGACCAAGGACCTCCAAATAAATAATATAAAACGTATTTCATATTTTACTAATTAAAAATTTACAATAAAGTTGAATAAACACTTTTGGGTATCTTATTTTTAGAATAAAAATGAACATGCGACTGGGCTTTGAACGCGGATAGAATGCAGAGAACCTACGCTAATGCCTATGGTTGTCCTCAATGTTATACAAAACCTTCCTTCTCCGTCTGGATCTGTTTCTCAAATGTATGTGAAAACAGCAGGACAGAGAAGTGTAAGGTATTTTACGGAAAGGACTGATCTTTGCAGTAAGCTAGGTAATTGCTATTTCTGATACCTCAAGGGCTAACTAAGGTACGGACAGACCTACATGGGTTACCAGACTGCCTAACTGCTCAAACAATCTAGAGATGTCTACCTTAGAACCGAACTGCAAGAAGCAAGTGGCCGAGACAGAAGGACAGCTGACTGCGAAATACCTTCAGGAAGACATCCTGAAGCACGGTAAAATGACTTTTTGCAGTTATGCTACAAGCTTACATTGACAGTAAAACTCCTTCCTACTTGAAACCTAAATATCAACACTGAAGTATGCTAGCTCAGAAGTTTATTCATAAGCAGCTGCTGTGGGTTGCTGATTTACATCAGGATCACTGTACAGTAGACAGACTTTATGTCAAGTAAGGAGATTGAGTCTAAGTTAGGCAACGAGCAGTTACATAAAGACTTGACATCTAGAATACTGCTATAGCTAATTAAAGGGGTAGTCAGCAAGTCTGGTCTGAATTCTGGTCTGGTCTATAATCTGGTTCCTGGTTTGGTTTCGGGTCTGATTGGGATGGTCACCCCTATAGTACCCACATTAGTGTAAAGCCTCCTCAATCTGTAGGATACCTGCCTGCACGCATAGATGATGAAAACATATCATTCATTAAGAATGCGTGCTGACCCCAACCAAGGATAGAGACATCCCAAAGAAAGCCTCCTGGACGTCATATCTTCTGCTCTTCCAAGAAGTTCTACTGCACCAAGTCACTGCAGACATCAGGTGGATGAAGAATTTAAAGGCTTCTCACGGGACTTTCAAAGCTAAGGGGGAAGGTATGCGGATTTGACCCCTCAGCAGTGCTGGGAAAGGCCTTGCCCACCCTAAGTGAAGGCGGGCCTGCCAATATGTGCCAAGGCCTGGGTACAGGCCAGTGTGATCACCCTAAAGGGGTCGTATATGTGCGGGGAATGAGCCCTCGCGGGGCCCTTAACAGACATGCACATGTTCTGGGCAGAGGCCCTCAGCAAGCCCTGTGCCCGCCCTAAGTGAAGGCGAGCCTGAATATTCACAAGAGGCCAAGATTTGACATTTTTTCATATGTGAGTATCAGACAGTTGCAGCATGCCAGTTGGTTACAGAGCAACGTGAGCCTCTCCAGGCTCTTTCTGGAAGTTGCAGCCTCGACGGGCAGTTGAGCCCAGAGCCCCGTACAGTTAAGGCCCTGGGCGTATGCTTTCTGAGGCCGACACATCATACAACAGCCATGAACCAATGAGATTGCAGCGAACGTGTGGAGGCCCATGGACTGCCTGGACGTGCCCAACTGTAAAGGGCCCAGGCCCGTAACTGCAACTGGGCCTGGACGCAGGCATTAAGGCCCGACTGGAAGCTACTGGATGCTCGCCCAGCCAGGCCCAGAGGCAGCAGAGGCTGAGCTCACTTTCCATATATGAAAGTGAGCATCGCTGGGCAGGTCATTCTGGCCTAGGCAGGCAATGCGGCCACGCTGCTGCGTTGCAACTTCGTGATCTGCACGAAGCTGCCGGCTGGGTCGCGCGCACGGGCGCTGGGGTGTGAGGTGCACTGCTGGGCAGTGGGCGCACGGCAGCCATAGCCAGGCTGCTGGTCGCAGGTCTGGATGGCGATGCTGGTCTTTGGGTGTTGAGATTGCACACCGTGGGAAGTCAGGGGTGACGAGGAGAGACGAGATACATACCTGGTGCATGAGGGAGGTCAGCTATGGTGTTGACGTCATGTACATTGGTCTTCAAAGTCGAAGTGAGCCTGTTGCGTGAACGCTGGTGTAGTAGGATAGGCGAGTAGTGTAGGCTGGGCGCTGGGCGCCAGACAGAGTAGGAGCAACATTCGATAGCCTGAGGGCTTGGACATTGGCTCGTGAGTTCATTGTATTGCTCTTATCTGGATGGAATCTCGGTGCATTTGCGCTCTCTGCTCGTACATGACTACTTGGACATCTGTGTTATTTCGCAACTTGGTTTTCTGTATATCGGTCTTGCACATATTCCTTGCAGTTCTCCTTCCTGGAACCATTTTATTGGACCGAGCAGCTGCCGGTCCACCTTCAAATGTTTGGCCTACCGGTCGTTAACCATGTCCCTTAGGTTCCTCCTTGGCCTATGCATTCTATAGGTAGATTTGAACGTCAGATTAAGCAGAGTTCTGTACCTAGATGGGGGAGTGCCTTCCACTTCCAATCCTGTGGGTCCAGGGCCAGTTTGTGGATAGGGGTGTCCGAGCAGTAGACTTCCACCCACATTACTTCCACAAGGTTTCGATTTCAAGTTAGTGGAACTGTGGATAGGGGTGTCCGGGCAGTAGACTTCCACCCACATTACTTCCACAAGGTTCCGATTTCAAGTTAGTGATCTGGCATTCAGTTTGCATTATGGGTAGATCTTTCTGAAGGAGTGCATTATCCTTTCCCTGGTATTGTTTAAGCCAGGTCTAGAAGAAATAAATCATGCCTTGGAATAGGTTGTGGACTCCATGAGGAGGCTTCAAGTGGATTGTAACATGTTACATTTTTGGCTGCCAAGGGCAGCGAACGAGCTGATGCCCACCAAACTGGAAGGGGCCTCACCATAAGGTGGTGATTTTTCAAAGGGGAAAGAAGAACGAAACCATACTTACCTTCTCTTGAGTTGGACAGATCATCACGGTCTCTTGATTTACCGCAGTCCAGCTTGGTCTCATTACTGCTAGACACCATTCGGTCTCCTCCAACAATCTGAGCTTCCAGTTTACTTGACTTAAATATAAACGAGACAGTCGCAACACCATCCTGAGAAACTTTCCTTTGGTCCAAAGCATCAAGGACACTGACTGTTAGGCTCATAGAGTACTCAATATCTGTCATCACTCCTTCCCAGTAAGGAGGGATGACAAGGTCCTTCCTCTTATAGATTCCATTGGCATTGCTGCCCAGTGAATTTGGAAGAGGGAATGTCTCAGCACTTGTGAATATCCATGAATAGTCCACAAATCTGTTTGCTGCCCCAACTGAACTGCGTCCAAGGCAGAGTGAGGACGGGTCCACATTTGCCTGAAGGGAAAGTCCTCGCATCCTTTCTGTTATCACTCTTCTTGGTCCAACAATTCTCACTATCGGTATTATGTTGCCTGACAGCTTCCTGAATGTGGCTATTGCAGTGTTTGATAGACCCAGACTGTTTGACACTGTGAGATTGATGGCATACAGTCCATCTTGCAGATCACGCACCGGAATCGTTATGGTTTGCAGCATCCCAGACACTGTGGTTACATCCCGCTGTGATTGTATTTTAGAATTGAGACTGGACAGAGCTTCACTGCTGGGAGCGCTCACAATCAACCAGTGGTATACTAATGGTCGCCTGCCTGGGTCTCTTGAGCCTGACCTGAATAACAACAGTGGAAGTTAATGAGATGAACATGATTCCAACTCAGGTCAAGGAATGATACACGTAATGTCTTTGATCCCACTACTCTCTTACACTCAGTTGTGTTGGTGTTGCCAGCCGCACCCTGTGCACCATTGAGCATTTGTTCCCTCCATTAACAATAAAACATGTATCATAGGGTGAGCTAGTATTTGAAAGTGTGTTTTTTTCTGTACGAAAACCGGTCCCTGTTGTGTCTGGCTGATCTTGAGGAACAACTTTTGTCATGCAGCCTTTTCTCATCAACATAAATGGTTGGGACTTGGGAGGCCCTTTGGCTTAAATAGGACCTCTCACAAATTATGCCACCAAGTTTTACATGTCATAGCGGATGGACACCACAAGCAATGATGGCAAATGCCTCGTTGCATGGTCCTACATCTATGAAAAGAATATATGCAAGAGGTAAACTCGCTCTTTTTTTTTTTTTTTTTTCAAACAAAACAGAACCTTATGGCTCTGGCTCCTTTTCCATTCTGGGGAGCATCAGTCCGGCTCCTATTCCACCGGCAAGTCAAAGGAGTTACATATAGGACTCACACACACTCTTCCCCTTTACGGTAGGAAAGCCCAAGGGATAGCATTGATTACTTCCTGCCGGAAGGATGTACCCTTACCCCTGCCTAAGTTAGCCTGATCTACTTTACTTCTGCTTCTTAGTGCTGAACAAAATCTTGGTATTGTGGACTCTGTAGACTTGCTTAGTAGGGCCTCGTCTAGCCTGTTCCTCTTAGCTCTCTGACCGTCGGATTCTCCTCGAGTGCCAGAACTGCTGACTTGGCTTTCTACAGTATCGCTTGTGTAAACCCTAAACTCTCTCCGGTTAAGTTGCTGTTGCTCCTGGCTGAAGATAAGTCCTATACTTTTTCTCCCTTCCCCCTCCCCTCCTATCTTTTGTGACAAACTAAAGAAAGCCTGGTCTAATCTATTCATCTGAAATTATTTAGCTGCTTGACTTGCTGTAAGTGTTGAAGCTGTAGACCTGGCTGTTTGTTGTTGGATTGGCTAAAACCCGAAACCCTAGCGAGTGCTTTCACTCGTTGTGCTGATATCGACTGTCTTATTGAGCTAGCACTGAATTCTGTAGCCTGTCCCAACTATGTCTGAGGCCGTCTGGAACCTGTGCTCTTGCTGAGGGTCTGTCCTCTTTGGTAACCCTTCCTTTTTTCCTCTACAAGTAAACCCGCCGCGGACACGCCGTGGCAGGGGGAAGGCAGGTAATTGAAGATGGGAATTTCTAACCAGAAAGTGAATGAAGACCGCAGCAGAGTAGGTGGAAGGGCCGCGGCGAAGCCGTGGCTCAGTGCCAGCCCCACCCCAGGCACGGCGATTATCTGGCCTGGCAACATTGAGGGTGTTTGTTTTAGAACATGAGGGACGCCCGGCATTCGGGGCGGGCATCGGCCAAGGCATCAACACGCCGGCGGATCCTTGGTAAATCAGAACTATTTTATTGTGGTCGCCGCTGGATTCGAACTCACGTCGGCAATTCCACAGTTTCATGTGTGCATCAACTGAGCAGCCTGCCAATGTGCAAAATGAGAAGGAATCTTCAGCAAGAACATAGGAAGATACACCGTGACGGACAAATACATTGAAAACAAATCCCGGTGCGAGTATGGACTAAGGAGTTGTCAGATGCAAATGTCTATGCGTGCAAGAGAGAGAGAGAGAGAGAGATAGATAGATAGATAGATAGATAGATAGATAGATAGAGAGAGAGAGAGAGAGAGAGAGAGAGAGAGAGAGAGAGAGAGAGAGAG